CAAGAAAAGCTGAAGGCTAGGCCTCTTGCGCCAAACTACGAAGTTGTGAAAGCAAAAGAAAAGTTCTTAAAGGAAATTAGAAGTGCTACTCCAGAGAATACACAAATGATAAGAAAACACAGCAGCCTTATTGCTGATAAGGAGAAAGTTTTAATGGTATTGACAGATCAAATCAGCCACAATATTCCTTTAAGCCAAAGCCTAATCCAAAGCAAGGCCCTAACTCTTTTCAATTCTAAGAAGGCTGAGGAGGCTGCAGAAGGAAAAGTTGAAGCTAGCAGAGGTTGGTTCATGAGGTTTTAGGAAAGAAATCATCTCCATAACATAAAAGTGCAAGGTGAAGCAGCAAGTGCTGGTGTAGAAGCTGCAGTAAGTTCTCCAGAAGACTGAGGTAAGGCCACTGATGAAGTGACTACACTACACAACAGATTTCCAGTGTAGATGAAACAGCCTTCTTCTGGAAGACCATGCCATCTTAGGCTCCACATCTGATTCTAGTTCATTTGCAGTTTCCTCCACATCTGCAGTTACTTCCTCCATTGAAGTCTTAAACCCCTCAAAGTCATTTATGAGGACTGAAATCAACTTTTTCCAAACTCCTGTTAATGTTGACATTTTGACCTTCTCCCATGAATTATAAAGTATATATGGAGAAGCAAATTGACTTGAAAGTTGAAATTACATTTTGGTTCACAGGCTGTAGAATGGATGTTATGTTATCGGGCATGGAAACATTAATCTTGTACATCTCCATTAGAGCTCTTTGGTCACTGGGTGCACTGTTAATAAATGGTAATGTTTTCAGAAAAGTCTGTTTTATCTGAGCAGTAGGTCTCAACAGCAGGCTTAAAGTATTCAAGAAGTGATGCTGTAAACAGATGTGCTGTCATCCAGGCTTTGTTCTTCCATTTACAGAGTACAGGTAGGGGAGATTTAGCATAATTCTTAAGGGCCCTAGGATTTTCAGAATGGTAAATGAGCATTGCCTTCAAGTTAAAGTCACCAGTTCCATTAAACTCTAACAAGAGAGTCGGCCTGTCCTTTGAAGCTTTGAAGCCAGGCCTTGATGTCTCCTCCCTAGCTCCTCTCTAGCTATGAAAACCTAGAAAGTTTAGCCTTCTAGATGCCATTAAGAAAGTTCATAATTCATGGGAGAAAGTCAGTTGGTACTCACAAAATAACTTGTTAGGATTTTGAATAGAATTTCCATTGTATTTATAGATCAAGTTGGGAAGAACAGACATCTTAATATTGAGTCTTCCTATCTATGAACATGGAATATACAGTAATGTCCCCTCTTTCATTTTTGGTATTAGCAATTTGTGCCTTCTTTCGTTTTTGTTTTTTTTTGTTTGTTTGTTTGTTTTGTTTTTTTCTTTTAAGTTAGCCTGGCTGGAAGCTTATTAATTTTATTGATATTTCCAAAGAAATAGCTTTTGGTTTTGTTGACTTCCTTTTTTCTATTTCATTGATTTCTGGTTTTTTAATTTTTTTCTTTTGCTTTGGATTTGTTTCTTAGGTCTGGTCTCCAAGGAACTGTTTTACTTTGCCACCAGCTCAACCATATGCCTATGTACTTGTAACATTTTTAGTTGCACTGCACCTGGAGAATAGATATAGTCCACCACACTGCTGAAAATAAAAATTTTCTATTTTACATCGTTTACTCTAGAAAAATTTCTTTTGTTATTCCAATAAATTTGGAGGTTGGAAGAGAGGAGGTAAACTCAAGGACTCTAGTTAGAACTATAATATGGGTAAAAACCTAGTATTGCAAATTCCCTCTCACTCCCCTTCAACTAATAGAGCTCTAGTCACAACAATGATAGTGGCTTAGTTACTCAGATCTCCCTAACCCCATTTCTTTTTTGATCTATAAAATGGTAACAATTAAAAAACCCATCACAAAGTTATTATGAGGATTAAATAATAATAATATACTAAAAACTTAGCCTGGCCAAAATATATTTTTCTATTAGAAAGCTAATCTTGTATTTCTGGAATGTATGTTATCCTACTTAATCATGGATTAATGTTTCTGTCATATGCAGTTGGTATTAATTTCTCCATAATTCTTTAAGACTTTTAAATCTTATTCTTTCTCATTTTGCCAACTGTTTGATACTAGGTTCATGCTAACTGCATAAAATGAATTTGATTTTTCTACATTCTGGGACAGTTTAAATAACTTTAAATATTTCATGTTGAAATTGTAAAACAATCCACTTGTAAAACACCTGGACTTGCAGCCATTTAAAAAAATAATTCTTTGATAATTTTATAAAAGACTGTAGGCTAGGCGCACTGGCTCATGCTTGCAATCCCAGCATTCTGGAAGGCTGAGCCAGGAAGACTGCTCAAGTTCAGGAGTTCAAGACCAGCCTGGGCAACATGGCAAAACTCTGTCTCTACAAAAAAAATTAAATAAATAAATAAATGACTGCAATGGTTTGCTAGTACAGACTTCTTAAGCCAATTTTGATCTTTCCCTAGAGAATAGTCCATTTCATTCAGATTTTCAAATTTATTAGCACATGACCATAAAGAACAAACAATTTTTAAAACCTCTTTATCCTAAATATTTTTGTTCTTTTCATGTTCCTGTCATTCTATTTTTTGCTATATCTATTTTATTTCTCTTTTTCAGTGTTTTGAGAATATTTATGCTATTTTTACTTTAATAGTTTCCCTGATATTTTCCAAAAGGATTCTTTATCTTACATGTTTCTAACAGTGAAATGGAACATTTCGACTCTTTCTGATGATAACGTAGAATATTGTACTTAACAGCTCCTCTTTCATCTCTACCTCAATCTCAAGGCCCCATCAATTCTTAGTTTTTGTTAACAAAAGCTAAGATAGTCTTACCCAGATACTCACTACTAACATACTGCTTTTCCCATTATTTAAAAACAAATGTTTTCAAATAAAAGGTCTCACAGATTTGTTACTAAACCACCCTGCTAGTGCATAACATATATACAAAGAGAAAAACGATTTTCCCAATAAACTTATCTGACGGTCCAGATAGTGGTGACATTTTCAGTCTGATATGGTAAGATGACAGCGACCCTGATACAGCATAAATATGTGTGCCATCTCATTTGCAATTGCTTACAGACCCAGCGTGGTTCCTCTCCAGTGTCTCCTCTTGGAACTGTACCTGATTTTATCATCAGTTTTCATCTGAATACAATGGGGAATGAGACAATTTTGCTTTTGTTTCTTGGCCTGAAATCACTTGACCCTGAAAGACTTACGAAGACAGGGTGAGAAACGGAGTCAACTGTACACATCATGATGATGGAGGAAGGAAGAGCGAGGGAGCTGCTTTTTCCATTATTTATCCTTTTGAGGAATTTAACATCTCACTCCATCTTATAAACAGTTACAACAATTATTTAATGTTTAAGTTGTTTCAGTGTTCAGTGCTTTTGATATGAGGTTGATTTAATAAACTGTTTTCTTTCATCTCTAAGTTGATTAATCTTTAAGTCATTGCTTTCTCCAGAATAGTACGTAAGTGGTATAATATCTCAACGCCTGAATGTCTGAAGATGTCTTTCCATTGTCCTCACTTATGACAGGCATCTTCACTAGGGATAAAGTCTTGGATTAAAAATCTTCTCCTCTAGAGCTCCCTATTACCTTCCAGCATTCTATAAGGCTAGCCTGGTTTTTCCTTTCTTGTAAGTAACTGGCTTTTGTTTGTGCTTTTATCCTTATAAATTAACATTTGGCCAGGATGCATCTAATTATAGAACCCCTTTCTCATAGGTTTTTCTGGAACATGATGAGCCCTTTCAATCTGTACATGCAGCTCTTTCTTTGGCCGCTAGAATCTTTATTCAACTGTATTTCTGAATATTGCTTCCGCTCCATTTGTTCTGTTCTCTTCTTCAGAAACACCAAATGCCGCCCTGCAGAAGTGCCAGGCTCTGTCCTAGAATCTGCCATCCACTCTCATGAGTACAATCTCTGTGTACTCTGGGTTCTGAGAGAACTTCTTGTTTGCTCTTGTCATGCTAATCCTATTTTATGAAGTATCGATGTTATTTTTTGTTTCTAATGTGCACTTTGGCTTCTGCATTTTTATTTTACTTATTTATTTTTATTTTTTTGAACAGAATCTCACTTTGTTGCCCAGGCTGGAGTGCAACGGCACAATCTTGGCTCACTGGAACCTCTGCCGCCCAGGTTCAAGTGATTCTCCTGCCTCAGCCTTCCGAGTAGCTGAGATCACAGGCACCCACCACCGCCCGGCTAATTTTGTATTTTTAGTAGAGACGGGGTTTCACCATGTTGGCCAGGCTGGTCTTGAACTCCTGACTTTTGGTGATCTGCCTGCCTCAGCCTCCCAGAGTTCCGGGATTACAGGCGTGAGCCACCGCGCCTGGCCTTCTGCATTTTTAAGTTTCTGTGGTTCCAGCATTCTCACCTTGGCCTGTTCTTTCATTATGGCTTTCTGTTTCTACTTCAAAAATGGCACATTTTCTGGTATTTTTTTGAAGAGGCCCAGTAGTTTGTTGAAAATTTCTTCTAACTCCTGAAACTGAGATTATACACTGATCATATAAGATCTTATGACTTTTTAACACAATGTTCCTCAGTATCATGTCCTAAGTCCCAAGTTTTACCACCTTTACTTCACCCAGACCTCTGGCCACTTTACTCATCTTTGGCTATACCAAGAGACATTTCTGGTAACAGGACTATTATTTTTGTTTACCTTTCGATGTTTAAAAAATGTCTTGCCTTGTATTACATGCTCCAATAATAATTATTTTGAAAACAAAAAAAAAGTTTTTAAACCTGTGAACAGCACAATAAAAAACAACTTTTTCTATCCCACAAAGAGCACAATTAAAAAAAAATCATCATTTGTTAATCTAGGATACAGTATATAGAAAAGTTATGGTATCAAGATGATAGTTTAAAGATACATACTTTTGCTTTCAAAAGGAAGGATTCTAATATATTAAGAAAATAGAAAGACAGTATTATTTAACCCTGTTCTCACATAAGCACCGATTTTATTCCAAATAATCACATAATTAAGAAAGAAATTTCCTAATATATTTTTACAAAAAGTAACTTCAGTGTCATACATTCTAGAAATGTTATCTTGTACATTAGCACTACCTTACTTGAACTGAAACATTCCAAAAGTTCCAATACCTTCTACAGATTTCATTTTTAAAGTTCAAAAAAGTACTTATTTTCCATGATAAATGATGCTACTGATAACTTTCCTTGGTAGAATTGTAGTTACTTTGGTAATTTCTACATGTTTATAAATAAGCGCCACATATACTATATTAAAAAATTAGCCAGTCTAATGGCTTGCACTGGAGACCAGGGAGTTACATTTTGTTAAACCCAAATTGAACAGAGTTGAATTTAGATTAATACAGAGAAATGCATGCTCTGGGTTTGTTGTCCTTTGTATTTCTTGAAGCATCAGATGAATTGTGAAAAGTTCAAAGAGCTTCTTATTACTCCTGTTAAAAAAATGAATATATTATTTAATTACACATACTTAAGAGAGTTTATCTGCAATGACACGAAGATAATTTATGTGTAAACATGAGGAAACGGCATCTGTTTTTAAAAACAGTGGAGAAAATAGGCGACAAAAATATTAGGATGCTGAAACAAACAAAACAGGTTTTAGGAGATAAACCTGAAGCAGAAAACCACTGGGGAAAAAAGGAAACTTCTTCTTCTTTTGAGACAAGGTCTTGTTCTGACAGCCAGGTGGAGTGCAGTGGCATGAACACAATTTACTGCAGCCTCAACCTCCCCAGCTCAAGCAATCCTCCCACCTCAGCCTCCCAAGTAGCTAGAACTACAAGTACACACCCCCAAACCTGGCTAATTTTGTTTATTTTTTGTAGAGACATGGTGTCACTATGTTGCTAAGGCTGGTCTTGAACTTCTGGGCTCAAGCAATCCTCCTTCCTTGGCCTCCCAAAGTGCTGAGACTATAGATGTGAACCACTGTGCCCAGCCTGGAACCATTTTATAATCCTGAAAACTGCACCCTATTCACTATTAGCGTGAGAATTTTTTTTCACTGCTAGCAAAGCAAACATTTGATCACGCTATTTAGAGTAAGCAGGCCTTTTTAAAGTGGCAGAATATTGGTCCATCTTTTGACTTGGCTACAGAACACTTGTTCAACCATCCTCTTTCTAATGACCTGTCAGTAATTTCATTTCAATCATTAAGAATTTATGTTTCTTATTTCCTTGTCTAGCTATTTTTACCTCGAGAGAATTTGTCAAATAACCTTATGTGCTATCCTAATACAAAAGGATTTACATCTTTTGTGATCTTAAAGATTTATTTTAAGACTTGCTTGAGCATCAACTATTCCCAGTCTTCTTGTTCAAGTCTTGTTCAAGCTTTTAGTTTTTTAATCTAAGTCTAAAATGAACCCAAGCTACAAACACATCACGAATAGTAAAACATTTTGGCGCAAGGATATACTTGCACTTCGGGACTACTTTTTAAAAAAAATCCCATGAAATAAGAACTAAAAAATAATTAAATCTAAGTAATGTTATTGCAACTTCATGGCACCATAGGGTAACTGCAATAGGCCTTACTAGAAATTTGCTAAAATCAAGAGAATCACAGTATAGTCTGCAAGAAAAGGAAGACAGTAAATTGATATATTCAGCAAGTATCAGACCAAAACTAGTAATTTGGTCAGTTGGAAAATAAGGTTATAATTTGACAATAATTTATTACAATCCGCTACTAGGCATGATACCAAATAGAACATATGGATCTCTTAATTCCTATCTACAAATAATTTCAAGATGCATTGCATTTACTACTCAAGTATATGGAAGCCTGGTAAAATCTAAATTCTCTACCATGGGAATCATGGATGAGGGGATGAGGCCAGGGGAAGAAGAGTTGAACCTAAATCAAAATAAAAATGTTACTGTTATACAAATGAGATGAGAAAGAAGGTGTCCAGATTTGCCTCAAAGGAAACACTAGAGTATACCAAGAACCACGGAAAATACAACTTAAAATCGATATCCTTATTTGTAGTTTAGTAACTGTTATACAAATTTCTGAGTCAGGAGAAAGATGAGGAAACAGAAAGCCCTTGATTCTCATAAAAAAATCCAAATTAGTGGCAGTAGGCAGTCCATAAGAGTTTACTAAAATAAATACCATTACAAAAGTAATTTAAAATCTCTTCTGCTTGCTTCATTCTCATCCCCTAAATTCACTTTAGTACATCAATAAGAATTTGCAAAATATACTTTTATTATCTTTTTATTTTCACCTGTGGTATTAGAGAATACCAATATGCAAGAATTTATTCTGATATTATTACTTGGTTGCTAAAAACTGCTCTTACTTTTATATGATTTATTTAAAGTTCACTTACCTGAAATGAGCTATAGAAACAACTAGATGTTCTGAGATCAGAACTCTAATTCTAGTCTGTCACTAAATATGTGGTCTTAGATCAACATTAGTATTCATGAATCTTAATTTTCTACATCTGTATAATGGAAATTTTTATTTAATAATGAAAGCTTAAGTAGCATGGGATTCAGAAAGGTCTAAATCAAGCTTGTCCAACCTGCAGCCCACGGGCTGCATGCGGCCCAGGACGGCTTTGAATGCCACCCAACACAAATTTGTAAACTTTCTGAAAATACTATGAGGTTTTGTTTTGTTTTTAGCACATCAGCTATCATTAGTGTTAGTGTATTCATGTGTGGCCCAAGGCAATTCTTCTTCATCCAGTGTGGCCCAGGGAAGCCAAAAGATTAAACACCCCTGGTCTAAATGATCACGGTAAGGTATTTTTCAATGAAAAATGTTAGCAATAAGAAATTCTTACTTGATTTTGGAAAGTTTCTGTAAAATAATACTGAGCTTTTCTAGTATTTGAAGATCAAGCTTAGGGGCTCGAAGCAGCACAGAGCAAGTACGAAAAAATGAAGAGTTGCTACAGGCTTCCAGGAAAGGCTGCAAAGATTCTGCAAAACAAATCAACAGTGCTTTACCATTAGGGAGCAGCTAAAAAGGAAATTAAAAACAAATTAAAATCAGAACTATGTGAGGCATTTATAAATATTCATTTAGATTTTCATTCTTTTCATACTTAAATTTTTGAGTGAAAATATCATCATCTGAAAAATTAAAACATCTACTGGCTCTTATTCAACAGTGCAAACAAAAGATAAGATTATTTACCCTAATATTAAATTCCTAATAGGCAAAATCTAGAGGAAATCCCATGTTTGAAAGAAAGGAGGAAAGCCATTTCTTCAGTAAGTTCATAATAAGTTCAGTTTAAATACTGTAATTAGCAACAAGAAATTCTGCTTCAGTAGTAAATTAAAAAAAAAAAAAATCAAAGAGCCCCCAAATTTGTGAATTTCACTTGAATATTAATGACAATTTACATAGTCACTGGATAAGGAAGAACCTTTGGAGCATAAAAGCAAAAAGGGAAAAGATTCATTTAAAAAAAAAAGACTAGTCTCACATTTAATTTATATGAGACTCTGGTCTTTTACGTTGGAAGCTGTTACAAGTTACGACTTGTGGGGCTACTTAGATGAAATGAATTATTTTGTTTATGAGAAGGACATGAGATGTGGGGGCCTGCAGGCAGAATGCTATAGTCTGAAGACTTGTCCCCCCTAAAACTCATGCTAAATTTAATTGCCATTGTAATCGTATTAAGAGGGGGACCTTTAAGAAGAAGTGATAAGGCCATGAGGCTCCACCCTCATGTGTGAGTGCAGCCCCCTCTTGCTCTCTCTTGCCCTCTTGTCTTCTGCCAGGCGATGATGCAACAAGAAGCCCTCCAAGATGCCGGCACCTTGATGCTGGATTTCCCAGCCTCTAGAATATAAGCCATTACACTTCTGTTCATTATAACATACCAGTCTCAGGTATTCTGCTACAATAGGATAACACAGACTAAGTGGTATATGCTAGGAATGGAGCACGGGAGACAATGGTTATGTGCCCTTTGCATGCAACTATGTGGTAAAAGTAGGGTAACCAAACTCATTACTTTCACAATAATAGTCCAACAAAAGCATGGTCTAAACATAGTTTACCGAGGTATGTGTGTGCGCGTCTGTGTGTGTGTGTGTCTTTGTGTGTGTGTGTGAGAGACAGAGAGAGAGAGCGTGAGTCCACGTGACAGAGTGTTACACAGAATCTTCCTAAAGACTAAAAACTTAGGTTACAGATACAGCACCATCTACAAATAGAGCTAAAAATAAATCAACTGAAATTTCAAGCAGCCTCATTAACAAACCGTACACAGTTTTAGTTCAGGTCCTGAGACAGGATTCATATGAACTGTAAACAAGAAAGTTAAATGTTGTATAGCTAAGAGAATTCAAACTAGTGCGTAAAGAACCACCTAAATCGGCTGGGCATGGTGGCTCATACCTGTTATCCCAGCACTCTGGGAGGCCGAAGCAGGTGGATCACCTGAGGGCAGGAGTTTGAGACCAGCCTGCCCAAAATGGCAAAACCCCATCTCTACTAAAAACACAAAAAAATCAGCCGGGCCTGGTGGTAGGCGCCTATAATCCCAGCTACTCGGGAGGCTGAGGCAGGAGAATTGCCTGAACCTGCAAGGCGGAGGTTGCAGTGAGCCGAGATCATGCCACTACACTCCAGCCCGGGCAACATGAGCAAAACTCCATCTCAAAAAAAAAGAACAACGTAAATCATTACCAGAAAGGTAACTGAGGGGTTCTTAACATACGTACAATCTACAGTATCAATGTTTTCACTCAAAAAGCCCAGAAAGCACACAAGAAAATTATAATCATTTTTCTGCATACGGCAAAAGCATGAAAGAGAATACATCTTACTTTATTTTACTGTACTTTTATCTAAATCAAGTCTTTGGCACACATTTAAGGGTTATTACATGAAGCCCCAAATAGAATCCCAAGCCAAATAAAAGTAAACTTCCTTATATGACCTCTGCAATGGAAAAAAAAACCAACATCCCCCAAACATTTTAATATATCAGAATTATTTTTAAAGTGAAGCCTGTACAGGTCTTTTAGAAGTAAAAGAGGTCCAGCCAGGCGCGGTGGCTCACACCTGTAATTCCAGCACTTTGGGAGGCCGAGGTGGGCAGATCATGGGGTCAGGAGATCGAGACCATCCTGGCTAATACTGTGAAACCCCGTCTCTTCTAAAAATACAAAAAATTAGCCAGGCGTGGTGGCAGACGCCTGTAGTCCCAGCTACTCAGGAGGCTGAGGCAGAAGAATGGCATGAACCCAGGAGGCGGAGCTTGCAGTGAGCCGAGATCGCGCCACTGCACTCCAGCCTGGGAGACAGAGCGAGACCCCATCTCAAAAAAAAAAAAAAAAAAAGGAAGTAAAAGAGGTTCACTGGTTTGGTTTCCAATTTCTTTTTTAAAGCTGTGAGGCAGATGTAAAATACAGGAGAGAAAAAGTTCTGGGATTCTGTAGATGAGACAGGCTAACTATAAAATAGAAACACTGTGGTTTTAACATTTTTTCAATATTATCATGTTCAAATGGATTACATCCTTTCAAGTTTAGATTTTCGACCTGAATACACTTGGTGTTATGGACTGAACGTCTGTGTCCCCCTCTAAATTCCTATGTTGAAAGCCTAACCCCACTGTGATAGTTATGGGGGGAAGGGGCCTATGGCAGGTAATTACAGCGTAAGAGTAGAACTCTCATGAATGAGTTTAGTGCTCACTCTAATCTGAATGTCCTCCTCAAACTTCCTATGTTAAAACTCCCAAGGTGATGGTTTTCGGAGGAGGGGCCTTTGGGAGGCAGTTAGGTCATGAAGGCTCCGCCCTCATGAATAAGATTAGTACCATTATGAGAGGTTTGAGGAAGCCTGTTTGCCCCTTCTGTGATGCGAGAGCTAGAAGGTACCATCTATGAGAAACAGGCCCTTATCAGACTCTGAATCTGCTGGTGCCTTGGTTTTAGACTTCCCAGCCTCTAGAAATGTGAACAGTAAATTTGTTTATAAATTATCCAGTCTGAGAATTTTGTTATAGGAGCCTGAACATACTAAGACAGAAGTTGGCACCAGTAGCAGGAAGCTGCCGTAACAAATACCTGAAAATGTGGAAGTAACTTTGGAACTGGGTAATGGGTAGAGGCTGGAAGAGTATGGATGTGCATGCTAGAAAAAGCCTACACTGCTGTGGAAGGAGCATTAAGAGTGGTGAGGGCTCAAAAGAAAAGGAGAACTGTTGAGAAAGCTTCAATCTTCTTAGCGATTACCTTAGTGGTCACAATCAAAATGTTGGATGGTAAAGGCTACTCTAATGAGGTCTCAGAAAAAAATGAGAAACATGTTACTGGAAACAGAAGAAAAGATGATCTTGTAATAAAGCAGCAAAGAACCTGGTGGGATTGTGCTTGTGTCCTAGCGCTCTGTGGAAGAAATTTGACAGTGATGAAACAGGGTATTTAGTGGAAAAAATATCCAAGCAAAGTCTTGAGGGTGCTCTGTGGCTTGACTTACAGAAAAATGTGAGAAGACAGAAACAAAAGATGAAATCTATAATTACAAGGGAAGCAGAATTTAAAGATCTGGAAAATTCTCAGCCTAGCCATGTTGTAAAGAATGATACAGCATGCTGAAGAAAGAAACCAAAGGTGTGGCGCAAGCATCTGTTAAGGAGATTCGTGTGGATGGAAGGAAGCCAGGTGCTATTCATCAAGACAATGGGAGAAGGACCAGTAAGGTATTTCAGAGATGTCCAGAGTTGCCCTACCCATCACAGGCCCAGAATGCTGGGGCCTGTGACAGAACAATTTCGAGGCTCTTCTCCCTAAATTCTGGTGCAGTGCTCCTTGGTAACCTCAGCTGTTGTTCAAGTAGGCTTAGGTGCAGCTCAGATCACCCTTCTAGAAGGCACAGGTGATAAACCTTGGCATGGTGTTTGCACGGTGCCATCTCCACGGGTGTGCAAGTGCATGAGCTGTGATGGTGTGGCTGCCTCCACCTATATTCAAAGGATGCCAGAAAAGCGTGAGGGCCCAGGCTGAGAGCTGTCACGGGGCAGGGCCACTGCGGAAAGCCCCCAATAGAGTGATATGAAGTAGAGGTGTGAGGGCAGAGCCAACACAGGGAGCCTCCAGTAGGGCAATGCTCAGACTTGCCATGGGATGGGGGCTGTATCTGAAACCCTGGAAGGGTAGGGCCTACCAGTGTGCCACTCCAGCCTAGGAGAGACACAAGACTCCAATCTGTGAGAGCTGCAGCATGGTCTGTGCCATGCAAAAAAACAGGAGCAGAGTCGCCCAAACTTGAGGCTGGATATGGTCTGGATATTTGTGCCCTCCAAATCTCACATTGAAATGTAATCCCCAGTGTTGGAGGTGGGGCCTGGTGGGAGGTGTCTGGATCACTGGGGTGGATTCCTCAATGAATAGCTCAGCATCATGCCCTTGGTGATGAGTGAGTTCACATGCAATCTGCTTGTTAAAGGGGATGTGGCACCTCCCTCCTCTCTCCTGCTCCTGCTCTTCCATGTAACTTGCTGGCTCCTTGCTGACTTCTACCATGATTTTGAGCTTCCTGAGACCCTCGCCAGAAGCAGATGGCAGCACCATGCTTCCTATACAGCCTGCAGTACCATGAGACAAAATTAAACCTCTTTTCTTTATAAATTACCCAGTCTCAGGTATTCCTTTATAGCAACCTAAGTCCTACCCCAATATGTCCAGAGGCAGGACATGGAATCAAAGATTATTCTTGAGCCTTAAGATTTAATGCTGTTTACCTTGTTGGTTTTAGACTTGCTTGGGATTCATCTATCATTTCTTTCTTCCTATTTTTCCCTTTTGGAATGGAAATGTCTGTGCTATGCCTGTCCCACCACTGTGTTCTGAATGCACACAACCTGTTTCATTTCACAGGCTCACAGCTTGAGAACAACTGGCCTCATCCACATCTGATTTAAATGATATTAGGTTAAACTCTGGACTTTAGA